AGAAAAGTCAAGGACATAGAAGGTTCACCCTGGAGAACTCCTTCCGCGATGTCATATGATTTACTGTATTCATGATTGACTTTGACACACATAGTTGCTCCATCATACAAGTTTTTGATAACGCGGATGAGTTTCGAACTGATTCCTAAGCTGAATAGTTTGAACCAAAGAAGGCTATGACATACTCGTTTAAAGTCTACTGAAGCAGTATATATTTTCCTACCTTTCCAATGGGACAGTCTTGACATTAAAATGAGGGGAAATAATTTAACGGGGGTATGTATTTATTAGAACAATTCCGCGGGGACACTTGTCGAGCTTAATTTTCTGCTTGTTCTTCAACAAGTTTAATGTATCAGACTTGACGTGAAGTTCCACTTTTATCGGTCGAGATTTACTTCCGTCAGGCTTACCACGCCTAGTTATACTTTTTATCCTCGGAACCTGGAGTGACGTAATTTCGCTCATGAGATTTTTCACTATGGCTTCAGTTTCTAGGCATTCGTCCATTCCAAATATTATTATATTGTTTAATCGCTCGGCGCTTTTTGACCTCCGAGAATACATCTTCGCGATGGAAAGTTTCCATAGTGCGCTCTATTACTTTCATTTTGTTGTGTAGTCCATGGGTATCAGCCTCTAGTGATGCTACCGTATTGATGCAGGTTTCCAGCTTTTGATCCTGCGCAAGGAGTATATTTCGAATATCAGTGACATTATCAGTGAGGTTGTTTCATTTCTGCATAATCATTTGAAGCTGTAATCCTATTTGTGCTGTTTCTATAATTTCTTGATTGCCTGTCATTGTTTACAGTTCAAAGACCTCAAGGGAGCTCTACTCAGCTGAGTAAAAAAGTTAGTAGTTAGTTTAAAAAAAAGCGACCGCTTTTTGCTGCCTGGGTTTTGTCCGAGGTTTTGTCGACTTCGTGTCTGTGGCGCTAGATTTTGGACTGATCTGGTATTATACGTTTTGATGGTCCGGGTTGGTTATTATTGGTGCTCTGGTCGTAGTTGTCTGTGTCCTGATCGTATAGTTTTGGTCCGTAGTCGGTTTATTCTACGTGAAGTCCATTCACAGGAAAGTTTTAGGATATGGTGTAAATGGATTCATTGAAAGTCAAGTTTTCCTCTATTTCAGTATTGCGTAAGAAATTTTAGGGATGGAAACTTTTAAGTTATTTCATTATACTAATTTTCATGTGATTTTCATTTTTCACATATTTATTGATGGAAATCACAGAGGGGAATCAATAGACTAAAAAAAATCGGTGCCAATAACAAAAGTCAGTAACTAATGAAATAGGAAACACTAAACAGCTGACTGGAACGGGCATTGTGTGATCATTATGCGCATTCATGGAAAAAAAGGAATTATTTCAAACATAAATTCCATATAATATATATCATTCCCTTCTTCCAGTATAAGTATACGATATTTTGTTCGCGATGTAGTGCATTTAAAAATAACACGATTGTTCTCTACTTTGGCTAGATTAGTTTAGTTTAGTTTAGCTAGTTCAGTTTGGCCCAAAATGGTGATTATTTCCTTCTTCTCCTAAGTGATTCATTTATGTTCCCCTATCAATACCTATACTAGACTGCAGCTGTGCTCTCGCTCACTGCCTGGTCTAGGGCAACCTACTCATATAAAACCAAAGTAGTCTCTTCAAAAATTATCTCAATATGATTCGCAGATTACGAAAAAAAAAAAAAAAAATACTGGATGTTTCATTAAAAAAATATTTTTGTGGATTTTACGGATCACCCTATGAAACTTTTGATGAGGAACGTGTAAAGTCCTCATTGCGGCATTTTACTTCCGCATATTGTTTTTTTTTTTTCTCGATAAAAAATATGGGGGTGGGCGTATTCGATGAATAACCCTGTACATCCGGACATCTTGAGCAGAATCAGAAGAACCTTCCATTTCAAAAATTCAGAAAATGTCAATTTTATTCGGATATTCAGAAAACGTTGAAGAAATCATCTTACAGAAGAACAAAACACGTTTCTTATATTTTTCCTGTTCGATCTACCTTAGTAGGTATTTGTAATGTAACCGAAATTCGAATGTGGGGAAGCGAACGTTGGACACACTGTATATGTGAAGGTTCATTAGTGATATTTCATAGCTCACCTTCTCGTGTGAGTTTCGTGAAAATTGACAGAAAAGAACTCTGCAATACAATCAAAATTACTAACACCCTAGTCGTAACCCGCATCACAAAGGCGTCTGATCTTCTTTCCTATCGGAACCGAACACTCATATTGTAAACACATCACAAAACAAACCACATCACAATATAAAATGTTGCCAGTGTATCAGCCCGGAACGATTAAATTCATGATCCGGATCCATCGTATTCAACTAAACTGAAAGTGGCTGGAATTGCCTGAAAATGTATTGTAACAGCTGATGGGGACTGACGCAAGCGTTTAAGGGATTTGGGATAACCTTTTCCCGCAGGAATAAAAGGATAATCTGGATTCCTCACAGCGGTTTTAGTAAATAGGTCACGATATCACGACTCCGTTACTCGGCGTGTATGTACCTATACGTACCCACCCTACATATTTGCTTATTTTATACTCAATTTGAAAAGTAGAGCAGATCATGGAACCGTTTCAGTTTTTGTAATTTTATGATTCAGTGTACTATTTAATACAGGGTACTCCTAGTTACTTTCCAGGCAGCACAAAGAAATCCTGAAGATATCTTGCAGATATCCTTCCAGGAAATTGTGATGCCTTTTGTAACTTCTTTGAGAGATCGCCGAGAGCGCTATATCTCCTTCAAATGTCCGCAACCTATGCTGAGCTCAGCGTGGTTTTAAAGATATCCCACGCAGAAATTCTCATACAATGCCCTCAGGCGAGCACTTTGAGATATACGCATCGATCGCCACTGGCGAGAACTGAAAGTACTCGCAATTATTATGAGCTGTTTGAGAAATTCGTATACATATCTTTGTGACGAGGACATTGGGAGATTCGCATCAATTACTTCTGGCGAGGTCTTTACGTGCTCGCGACTACGAGCTGTTTGAGATATTCGCACGCATAGCCTTGTGAAGAGGACTTTGGGAAATTCGGCATCAATTACCAATGGCGAACTCTTCAAGTGCTCGCAACTATAAATTGTTCAAGAAGAACGAGGCCTTTGAGAGCGATATTCGCATCAATCGCCACATGATCGCCACTTACATGGTATGTGGTGGTATGGTGTTCAATTTTTTGGAAGTCATTGGTTATCAGCAGAATCTTGTCGGCGAAGTCTAACTAGCGCCAGCTATATTGTTTGGGTTGAAGTTAAATTTACTCGATATCTACTTCAGCGCCAAAGATATTTTAAATAATTTTCCATGATGGCGAGAAGATAATAATATGACCTGTTGAACAAGTAAGAAGATGGAGTATCTTGTATACAATCATTATAATCATAGATTAATAACTCCTATTTCATGTTAATACTGGATGTCCCAAGTTATCATATAGGTAACGGCAAAAACTTGCTCATTCGAGAAGATGATCAAAAAATATTAAAAAATGCCTCAAATGACATCAAAATACTTTCTTTATGACTTAAAAAAATGTATTAGATTTGACAGCCTCCTGGTAGCAACCCCTCAATTTTTATTGAATGGACTCCCTGTATATTGTCATTGAAAATTGCCTATCATCCTATTTTGGAAAAGAAAGATAGCACATCGGTACTTTGTATTTTGTTCATTAATAACAACAAAAACAATTACATTTTTTGACCTAATTTACGTTACATCGATTGAAAATTGCCTCCGCCCATGTTTGTTAAAATTTCCCACAATAAAAGTAGATTAGTTATTACACTAGGTAGGTACCGTCTGCAATGATTGATGTTCTGCACTTCAAAATGGAATACTTATCTGTCATTAATTTTCTGAAACAAAAATTCAATCTGTGAACTTTTTGAACACATGGACGAAAGCAATTTGTCATTCAAATAACGTGAAAAAATCATAAAATGTTCATGTTTTTGTTATCAATGAACAAAACACCAAGTATGTGCTATATCGGTATATACCAAATAGATTGACACGCAATTTTCAGAGACAATATGCTATTTGAAAATAAAAACTGATCAGTATCATCAGGGGGCTGCCAAATATATCACATTCTCCATAAGCCATTAGGAAGGTTATTTAATGCGATTCAATGCAATTTCTTAATGTTTTTGATATTTAGACAAGTAGACGAGATATTGCCTGTATGCCTGAATGTTATCAGATGACGGTAGAAATCTTCAGCCGGCTCTCCTACTATATTCTTCCGAATACCTATGTCGAAAGTGTCGTTTAGAAAGCATGTAAACAATGATTAATTCTTCAAAATAAATGTACGTATTCCCAACCAAGGGGTTTTTTGGACGAAGAGAATTAGTGAGTATAAGTATATATCTTTTATAAAAGATCAACAATCAATCGCAGAAAATCCTATACTATCAGATATTATAATACAAACAATTCACTGTGTGTAGCTATTATGAAATGATATGAGAAATTGCTAGAGAAACAAAGGAGAAAAGTTGCATTAGTAGGAATATATACCATTAGATAATAACCGAGCTGACATTTTTGAGCACATGTTTTATCGAACGGCAACACTTAAACCTCTAGTGTGACCTGCAAATGAAACCAAAACCAGAGCACCCATTTGCATTATTGGATTTTCAATTTACAGTCGATTTATTCCTTGTTTTTCAAGATAAGAAACCCAAAGGCGAGCTATGAATGCAACAATTATTTATACAACGAACAGAACGTCGATCTAGTACAGATACCTCCACTTCAATTTTCATTTCGATATTATCCTGAGGGTCACAATTGAGCCAACGACGTCCCTGTTTCTGTTTAACGTAGAAATATTATCATTAGATTGTCCCCAGACAGACTTTGTCCTGGATTCCGACCCTGATATAATGACGTCGCGGAAGCGCATGATTATGATTTGACGAGCAACGAGCAGCAGATTTGAGCTGACTATGCAGACTATGTTATGTTTATTGTTCAAACCAGTCAAACCAACACATCGCGTCAGGCATTATCATCGCGTCAGACTCTGCATGCCAAAATTTACTTCTTCGATATCTTCTAGTTTCCCAGCAGTTACAAGCATTCAATGAATTAGCACATTAACACCCATATAGGTGAGGTAATAACATTGCATATGTCTTTAAAATGTTGACGTCTCGGCTCCGCCTCATAACCTTTGATGTAACAAACACACTTCTGAAATTTCGATCCAATCCTGGACAACAATATGGGGAAATCGGCGCAACGTACGGAATTATCTGTGACAACAACAATCTGAGCGCCAATTTCAAAGCTCACTGGCGGAAAATGTCTAAAGAACATCCGAATTTTGGACTTTTGACTGGTCTCGGATGGGAAAAATGGTGGACAATGGTTGTGAAAGGAACCTTCAAAGATTCCAATTTCAATTTGGAGGAACAAAAGTTGGATGCAGTTGCTTTACATTTAATTGAAGCTTATAAGACATCTGCATGTTGGCAACAATGTTACGGAGCAATAGGACTTCTATCCTATATAAGAAGTAAAGGTATGATCAGATGATCTAATTATTTATATGATGTTTCCAGTTAGGGTATTCGCGATAGAAAATAAGCGTACGCCACCTATCGGAATTCTTGAAAGCTTTCAAAGCGGCATGTTTACCTTGCTTTAATTGGTTCACATTTGTTTTTTGTTTGTGTTCATTGGACACAACAATAAAACAAACCATTCAGAAGTGTTCAAGCTGCTGCCGTCAGGTGGAACGACGTGTTATTTTCTATCGCGAATAGAGGTACATACCTACCTATATATAGACATCGAACAACAACTTTCAGACATAGGCCATCGGAGATGGTCATAATTATGTTAGCTGCCGGTCGGCCAACTCCACGCGGATTTTTTCCACCATGCTTTTGCTTTCCCTAATATCGATAAGATGATTTATTATTAATTGTTTCTCAAATGTTTGATAAACGTATAATGAAATTTTTCTAGATATGAATATTACTGAAAATTTGGAATATTCATATATTGGTAGAAATAATATTTCAAATCAAATGATATATACAGGGTGCCCCATAAGTCATAGATCAAAAGAAATGGGGTAGTAGGGGGAGGGGTCATTTCCAATCAAACTAACCGTATAAGTATGTGGTTATCCAATTGTTGATGATACAAAAGTTATTAATGTTTTTTCTTTTTTATAAAAAGCATTAATTACAATAAAACTATGTCACATTTGTAATTTTTTCTTCAACTAAAACTACCCCACATACATAACCATTCATAAGAAAAAGTTGCCCATTTAATACAGATTCCGAAATGGTTTAACGTATGAGATTATTCTAAACAGAATTTTCGTTATTAATTTTTATCAAATGGGTCGCATTTTAAAGAAAATTTGAATAACTTTTGAACAATCTACAATTTGTTTACAACATATACCGTTAGTTTAGTAGTAAATTACCCCCCCCCCCCTACCACTCCTCTTCTTCTGATCCATTACTTATGGGACAAAAAAATTAATCAAATGTCCCGAAAACGCATGAGATATTTCAGTGATATTCCTCAGTATTTGCTGATATACTGACATTCAATCAAAAGGCGCTCAATAATTTTTTTCTATAGGAACATTTATAGTTTTCAGATTCAATAGTGGTATTAATAGAGACAAAAATGGCACGTTGTTTTCATCTCATATGGAATTCTTTTTTTCTTGCTCAGATAGAAGCTGATAAAAATCATTTATATCCTCCGATAAAATTAATCTGATCATGGCAAAATTGGCTATATTTGCGTAATAGGGTGTATACCTTATACCTACACAGTTTTTCACGTTATTCGACACGAAGCATTGGTGCTAAAGCTAAAGCATTCCATTTTTTGATAGTTTTTTTTTTTCGATGAATAAAGTCCTATTAGTGCCACATTTGAAATATTCTCATGTTGTACAGGGTCTGCCAAAAACACGAAAAGTATCAAAATGGCTATTTTTATAATAAAATGCCCTGTATATTATTGCGTTCTCAGATTTTCTCTGAAGAGCTGATTTCACCAATACATTTGACTTGGGGTCCAGCGGGAATGAATATAGGGTGTTCAAAATCAAGATTTTTCATTTTTAGGATTTTTTTGTGTCGTAACTATTCATTATTGGCCAAAACGGCTTACGTATGTCCCTATCTCAACTTTTGATCCACGTCTCGAATACATCAGGGTGGTTCAAGATTCAAGAGTTTTGATCACCTTGTATCTATTTCACTTCAATGTTAGTAGATAGTGAATCAAAATTTAAGATAGGGACATATGTAAGCTGTTTTGACTAATAGTGAATAGTTTCGACACAAAAAAATCCTTAAGTTGGAAAATCTCGATTTTGAACACCATGTATATCTCCCTGCTAGACTCCAAGTGTGATAATATTGTCACGAGTAGAACATTCAGTTTATTTAATAGTGATTTTTTACCATGAGGGTTCCATAAACACAAAGTTAATCAAATCATTCATCGACATTGATCTATGAAATAAACTGACCAAGGAACTTTCATGAGGAACGTGCAAGTCTAATAAAGTGTAAGTATATAAATATTGGATGGCAGTGTTCCGGAGTTAGTCATATTTATCATCGCGCTAGCTATAATGTTTCATGCTCCAATAAATAATATTTTTATTATGTTTGGATGTCGTGATTCGTACTTTCACTTACCCCTAAACTATTAGTGCCTTTTTGAATATTATATACCTCTCGCAAACCTCTAGCCAAGCAAACCCCTTTTAAATCGATATGGGTGAGATAGATAGATAGATAGATAAGCTTTATTGTCTAAAATGAGCACATTTTGTCGACAAAGTCAGTATCTTGCGATATATCGATTGCAAGATTATAAATAAATACAACAGAACAGGAATATATAACAATAATACAGAACCAAAATATATAAAATAAAATAACATAGACAAGTTTCATTATTATCACAAACAACAATTATCTTTAAAATCAATGATATGAATCTCTAATTATTCTCACATATCATAGAAAGACTAGAATTTGTAGGCAAAGTATTCATCCAAACTGTACAAGCCTTTTCCCACTAACATATCTTTGACAGATCTACGGAATTGTTTCAAATCATTGATCATAGTTGTACATTCTGGTAAATGATTGTACATCTTTTTACTCCTATAAATTAAGGATTGTCTCGTTAAAGATGAACTAGGCAGAGGAAGAGCAAGGTTCCTTTTATTACGCGTAATCTTGTCTATGTTTGCGTTCATGAAATTTCTTCTATATTTGTGAAGCAAACAGACTGTTTCTAAAACGAAAATTTCAAAGACCGTCAATATCTTATATTTGTGAAACATTGGCCTGCATGAGTCACGCGGCTTGAGTTTGAATACAAATCTCAGAGCTCGTTTTTGAAGGACGAAAACACTATTCAAGAGACCATGACAGCTACACCCCCAGAATGAAATTCCATACCGTATATGCGATTCAATAAGTGAGTAGTATGCTGATATTGAAGCTTGCAATCCAAGTTCACGGGATATCACATTGACTGCGAAGCAGCCAGCTGATATTTTTTTCTTAAGAGCTGATATATGATGGTCAAACTTCAAATTGCTATCTATGTGAACACCAAGAAATTTCGTGACAGACTTGCTCTCAATGAGTTGATCTCCTAGAGCAATTTGTTCAATCTCTGACTTGAATGTCACTAAGTTTGTTTTAGAAACATTCAGAGTTAGCATATTAGCTTCACACCAAAGGACCCCGCACTTTTAGTACGTAAAATGGTTCTCGGTGAAATTTTCTGAATTCTCAGTATGTCGTAGAATTCGATGAACTGATTGAACCTGCAGAATCGTAAAGTTCTTCGATGAACAGATTCTGAGATACAGGGCGTTGAAGTTACAAATCGGTATATTTCATTCAATTATTTTCTCCAAATTCAAAGATGCCAAGTACAATTTTTTTCGCTCATATCATCAACGAACCTCCATATTACTCAACATAATTCAGATGGTTCAGATAATGTAATTGTTTACAGAGTGAAACATATAAACATTTCAGTGATGTCTGAAAATTCGATGTAATAATGAAATATCGAAAAAATAATTCAGGCATGCAATATACTATTCTCATTCCATCATGAATCACAATTTATACATCTCATACAGGGTGATTTGAAAAATTGGTGACACCTAAGACCGATTTATTCATACACATCCTGTATATTCGAGTGAATTGTTAACCTCCCAAGATAGCTGATACCGTATGAACATGATTTCGTTGAGATATATAGGGTGATCATGAAGATTTTCGATGATGAAAATTACAAAAAATCGTGTTTTTTTAAATCACCCTGTTATTCATGATTAACTCGGTGAAATTCCCTAATTATTTTTTAATATATCCATCATTCGCTCCTCAACGCTGTCTTGAAAATTCAGTTTCCTATCATGGCGGGTGTCATAGTTATTAATTCAGGAACTTACCATTTGCATGAAGAGTTGAAGAGACTTGTTCAGTTATATTCGCATAGTGGCCGATATTTTCCAGAAATAGTGAAACGTGAGAATGTGGAGACGAAAATAAGTTCAGTATTCATATACAGGGGCGAATTTCGTTGGTATACAAGCTCTGCCAAAATGAAAATCGAACAATACCTAGGAGATGGGAGAATGATTCGGTCTTTCACGCTTCCATTTCTAATAGGGAGAGTTGAATCCTGGAATCATTCTCCCATCTCCTAGGTATTGTTCGTTTTTCATTTTGGCAGGGCTTGTATACCATCGAAATTCGCCTAACTATCTGTACATTACATTAATATTATTAAATTCATATATCTGCTATTGTTATTGAATTTCTAATGTTCACCCTGTATATGAATACTCAACTTATTTCCGTCTCCACATTCTCACGTTTCACTATTTGTGAAAAATATCGGCCACTATGCGAATATAACTGAACAAGTCTCTTCAACTCTTCATGCAAATGGTAAGTTCCTGAATTAATAACTATGACACCCGTCATGATAGGAAACTAAATTTTCAAGACAGCGTTGAGGAGCGAATGATGGATATATTAAAAAATAATTAGGGAATTTCACCGAGTTAATCATGAATAACAGGGTGATTTAAAAGAACACGATTTTTTGTCATTTTCATCATCGAAAATCTTCATGATCACCCTATATATCTCAACGAAATCATGTTCATACGGTATCAGCTATCTTGGGCGGTTAACAATTCACTCGAATATACAGGATGTGTATGAATAAATCGGTCTTAGGTGTCACCAATTTTTCAAATCACCCTGTATGAGATGTATAAATTGTGATTCATGATGGAATGAGTATAGTATATTGCATGCCTGAATTATTTTTTCGATATTTCATTATTACATCGAATTTTCAGACATCACTGAAATGTTTATATGTTTCACTCTGTAAACAATTACATTATCTGAGCCATCTGAATTATGTTGAGTAATATGGAGGTTCGTTGATGATATGAGCGAAAAAAATTGTACTTGGCATCTTTGAATTTCGAGAAAATGATTAAATGAAAAATACCGATTTGTAACTTCAACGCCCTGTATCTCAGAATCTGTTCATCGAAGAACTTCACGATTCTGCAGGTTCAATCAGTTCATCGAATTCTACAACATACTGAAAATTCAGAAAATTTCACCGAGAACCATTTTACGTACTAAAAGTGCGGGGTCCTTTTAATTTTTTCAACGTCCACTGAAATAGACTGAGCCAGACTAGCTCGATCTTCGTTATGCCAGAGAATCGTGGTATCATCTGCAAATAAAGTTAGGTGTCCAGAAATATCTAGACTAACCATATCGTTGATATAAATCAAGAAGAGAATCGGACCAAGAACTGACCCCTGAGGGACCCCCCGTATAATATTACCTTTATCCGAAGTCTTTTTTAACAATGATACTCTTTGATTTCTATCAGTGAGATAAGATCTGAACCATCCCCACGTCGTGATCTAGTGAAAGTCCTATCGTTATGTTGTGACATGGTGGAAACACTCGATATTGTGATGAAATCAGCTTTTCAGGTAGAATCTAAAAATGTACTAGTATACAGGCCATTTCAGTTCAAAAATAGCAACTTTAATACGTTTCGTGTTTCGGAATGTAGCCCTATTCATCCGAAAAAAAAACTGTCAAAAAATCGAATGCTTTAGCCACAATGCTTCGTGTCGAATAACGTGAATATAACCCTATAGTATTTTCTGTCGTTCAAATCTATTCACTGTGAATATCTCACTTTTACATGTATACGTCAAACGTTTAACACCCTTTCTTTTAGTAACGGAATATTTTTGGACCAAATATATTTTTTGAAGCAAACTTATATCATACATGTTTCATGTTCCCCTTGAATAATATTCGCATTTCATTATAAGGAACACCCTCTGTATAATAACACCTATGGAATTACCAAGCTATATGTTGTTGAAGTGGTCATTCAATGAAAGGAATAACACGTCAAATACTTCGATTCAAATAATGTTTGAAAGCCGAGTTGAAAGTCAATTTCTGTTTCACCTATAGCATCAAACACCAACTTTCAAGTTGGTGTTCCATGACCATATGTACACCTCTTTATAACGTAATTTAAAATTTTTGTCCCGATATGTTTGATTCAATTTGTATCCGCCAGAATTTCAGGCGTAGTTATGGAAAATGCATAGAACGTGAAGAGGAAGAGGATTTATAAGTGTTTTACAGGTTACTGTACTTCGATATAGGTTATATTGTTATTCATTTCTTTCAGGAATTCGTATGGGCATAGTTTCAAATTTTGATCCAAGGCTGAATATTACTTTGGAAAACATGAAACTTCGTCATTATTTCCAATCCGTCATAACATCATATGAAGTTGGAGTCGAGAAACCAGACCCAAGAATTTTCGAGGAAGCTATGTATCATTCAAAAATAAAGAATCTGAAACCTGACGAATGTCTTCATGTAGGAGACGAAATATTTTTTGATTACAATGGTGCTAAAAGTAGTGGATGGCATGCTGCTCTGATAGATAATAATAGAAATATACATGATATCAAGAAAAAATATCCTTATGTAGATTCAAATTATATATTTGCAAATTTATACGACCTACATAAACATTTTATAGAATCTTTCGATGACAAAATTACCTCACATTCGTTATTTTAATTTTATCTCTAGATAGAGGGAATTTGGATAAGATGGCCCTTTCAATAGCACTATCACTAGGATATTATTGTGATTATTCATAAGATCATCGTGAGTAAAACATTTTCAGTAACCTATTTATTTTCCTCATTTCTACATGGATATATACATACATTTTCTGAGCATGATAATAAGAAGATATACCAAATCTCGATATGAAAATATGATGGCATATCCCAATTGCTTGTTATACGACGCTATACATAGTGGAGTATACTACGGCCTTGCCAAAAATGCTATCTCGGAAACTAAGCGAGATAGAGGTATAGTTACTTTGGAGAAAATGATCCCCATCGAATTTTGAGCAACTTTGGTTTTTGTGTGTGGTCTGTCTGTCTGTCTGTCTGTCTGTCTGTCTGTCTGTCTGTCTGTCTGTCTGTCTGTCTGTCTGTCTGTCTGTCTGTCTGTCTGTCTGTCTGTCTGTCTGTCTGTCTGTCTGTCTGTCTGTCTGTCTGTCTGTCTGTCTGTCTGTCTGTCTGTCTGTCTGTCTGTCTGTCTGTCTGTCTGTCTGTCTGTCTGTCTGTCTGTCTGTCTGTCTGTCTGTCTGTACTCTGTGGTAATCATAAATCGATATATCTCCGGAACCCTTTGACATATCGACTTGAAATTTTGCCATCTTATTGTACTCAAAACAATATTATGTCAATAAAATGTGAAGGAAATCGGAAAACTCTAAGGTGGTTTTTCCGGGTTTTTTCGATTTTTCACCGGAAGTTTCTTGTGACCACTCTACAAATCGCAAAAGTGGTCCGATCGATTTCATTTTTAGTGAAAAAAAACTCTATCAGGGAGATACGAAGCCTATTGAAATTGAGCAGGGTCGGGAAATTCCAAGTGGGTTTTTCAAGGAGATTTTCCGAAACACACGGTTCGCTTTAAAACGACATATCTCCTGAACCAATAGACTAAATCCAAATTTGAAAAATGCACCGTATGCCTCTTTGATGGCGCAACAAATTATTATTTTACCATTTTTTCGTGCATCTATCGGAAAATGGAAAAACAAATGAAAATCAAAACATCAAAATTTGAAATCCTTTCAATTCAATATATATCGAAAACAAATGGAAGAATCGAAAATTATCAGGAGTGCAAAGTTATCCACTGAAACATTTCCTACAAATTATTACTCAAATTACAATTACAAAAGTTCAGTTTCTAAACGTTTTGGGTCATTGCACCAAATCAAAAGTGAAATTATATACAAAGCCTGGAGTTAAGCCTGTTTTCCGACGGAAACGGCCTGTTGCTTACGATATCAAACAAGCAGTAGAAGAAGAGTTGGATCGACCTGTAAATGAGGGTGCAATTAGTCCCGTCAATTTTTCTGATTGGGCAGCACCGATAGTGATAGTTCGAAAACCAACTGGAAAAATTCGCATGTGTGCCGATTATTCAACTGGACTCAATGATTCATTAGAACCACATCGGTATCCACTTCCAATTCTCGAAGAGATATTTTCAAAAATTTCGCATGGAGTGTTATTCAGCAATCTCGACTTGTCAGATGCATATTTACAAATTGAAGTCGATGATGATTCGAAGAAATTGTTAACCATTAAAACACACAAAGGATTATATCAATTCAATAGGCTTACTTTTGGTGTCGAAACTGCACCTGGTGCATTTCAGCAGTTGATGGACACCATGCTCGCAGGTTTGGATATGTTGCTCCTTATTCGGACGACATAGTTGTTTCGGGTTGATCAGAGATAGAACATCTTGAACAGAAAGGGAATCAGCCCAGATCGATCTAGAATAGAAGCCATCAAAGAAATGCCGACACCAAGTGATATTGGAACTCTCAGGCCATTTTCGGGAGCCGTCAATTACTATGGAAAATTTGTTCATAACATGAAGACACTACGAAGATCTCTCTATAATAATTTGAAGAAGAATATCAAGTGGACCTGGCCCTCACAATGTCAAAAATAATTTGAAGATATAAAAGCAATTTTGATTTCTGATTTATTACTCTCTCACTATAAACCAGAACTGCCAATCATTGTAGCTGATGATGCTTATTCAAGCTATGGCCTTGGTGCATGCATACTTCACACATTCGATGATGGATCAGAGAAAGTAATTTGCCACGTGTCTAGATCATTGACCCCATCTGAACAGAAATATAGTCAAATTGAGAAGGAAGCTCTTGCTTTGGTTTCTGCTGTTGAAAAATTCCATAAGATGGTGTTTGGGAGGAAATTCATTCTGCAAACCGATCACAAGCCACTCCTCACCATTTTCTTTGTCAGTAGCGGAAGATTTATGTTCTGTTTGATAGTCGTGTTTTGATTCCTAGAAGTTTTCGACGTAGAATTTTGAAATAGCTTCATGGAGGACATCCAGGTATGGAAAAGATGGAATCGTAGGGAAGACACTGAACTATAAACCCTACAGGGAAGAAGCTATGTTTACTGGCCTGGATTGGATAAAGAGATTGAACATTTGGTTCATCAATGTGATGAATGTCTTCAAGCCTCAAAATCACCGGTTAAAACAGAACTGGCTTTTTGGCCAATTCCCAACATACCATGAGAAAGGTGCATCTTGACTTTGCAGGCAATGTAGATGGATCAAGTTTTCTGATAATCGTAGATGGCTAAATGGCCTGAAATTTTCAAAATGACGTCGACTACTACTTCCGCAACTATTAGGAGATTGAAAAGACTTTTCACATCATTCGGACTTCCAAAACTATTGTATCAGATAATGAAACACAATTTTCAAGTATACACTTCAAAGAGTTTTACAGTGATATTCATATTCGTACTCCAGTATACCATCCACAATCCAATGGGTTAGTAGAACGCTTTGTAGATAATTTCAAAGAAGCTTTGAAGTAAATGAAAGGGAAAGGAACTACCGAAGATATTATCATTACATTCCTTCAAACGTATCGATAAACACCAAATAAAAATGCTCCGGAACGAAAATCATCAGCTCACTCGATGTTTGGACGTCAAACCCGATCGCTTATGGATTTGGTGATACCAATAAGTACCAGTAGAAATGATTCTCAAGTGAATTCAGACATGGAGAATCAATTCAATCGATGTTACGGAGCTAAACAACAAAATTTTGAACCAGAACAGTTAGTTTCGGTGCGAATTTATACGAGGAAAAAAGAAATATGGGTCTCCGGTAAAATTATTGAAGGAGTTTTATATAATGTGCTACTTCAAGAAGAGCATTAGCTTATTAGAGCACATACAAATCGAATCAAACCCAAATATACATCAGGAAACATGAAATCGGAATCCGCATCTGTCACAGATATTCCTTTGAATATTTTGTTGGATGCCTTCGATTTGGATGATTCTCACATTAACAAATCGCAATGTGATGAACCTCTTCACTATTACATATTCAAGAAGTGGAACAAGTAGCTAAACAGGTACCTGAACACGAGGATTCAACTATTCCGGAAAAAGAAAAGACTAATGATGAAATTGTTGGGACTAGCTCAGAGGAAGGCAGATGTCAGAGGGGAAGAAGAGAAATAAGTATCGATTGCCAAAGAATCAGCAAGATTATTAGTTAGGAAATTTTAGAAAAGAGAGGTGTTAGAGCCTCTCAGTAGATGTTGAAGTGGTAAGAAACGAGTTAGCTATGTATTAGTCAGTCAGGAATATGTCGAATTAATATCTAGAGTTGTCAGTCAGATTTAAGAAAATAAAACATAATTCTATCAAATAAAACGATAGCTAACAAATATTCTGATGGCTCATAAAGAATCGTGCCCAACTAGGTTAAAACATAGCACATTGTTTTGCATGAGTTCACCATATTTCTGACTGTCGGAATATACTCCTAGTATCGCCATCTGTGGACTGTCGGATCTTTTTGCCTGAAGAGTGGAGTTGATCGAAGGTAGATGGTGCATATATTATTATCAGCTTCTTTCCATTCCAACGATGATAGTGGATATGAGGATATGCTTGTGATTTTTGAAATCCCATAAAAATGCACTGGTTTGATGAGAGCTAGATAGGATGAAATATTTTAGGCCACGATTTTCGCTCAGACTTTTGGCAAATCACGATGAAACCGTATGATCCAAAGAATATAATTATGACTTCAGTGAAAAGTTTGACAATAAACACAAATAAAACAATGAAATAAAGAGTATGCAAATCTCAAGAAATTGTGTAAACAACACACTCTTCGCCGCCTTCTTATTTTGAAGCAGCGCCCCCAATCGATCACCTTACTGCCCAAGGCTATTTAACTCAACTAAGATGGCTACGTTGCAACACCTTGAGGTTTCAACCTCCAAGTGGAACATTTGACCTTCAATTGACATATAATGTTAAATGTCTGTCAGCTGGTACGATAGTGCAGTGATTATTAAAAACTGTGTTATTGAAGTACATCATGAGTATATAAAGTGTGTCCAAGTGTGACAAAAACAAGGGCAAGTAGCTCTAAATGCCTCGCTAAATGAGTATCCAAAGAAGGTGAAACAGTGGTTTGTTCACATTTTCATCATCAAATTCGTGTTTTTGAGACGAAAATACGTAAGAAACAAAAAAATCCCAATGAAAAATTAAATGAACAACAGGAACCGGAACCAGCAGGGATATTGCACAGGCGCAGAACCTATCATAAGTTGTTACAGTGTTTTTACGACAGATGGTTAACAGATCTCACGACGAAACACAAAACACCTTCCCAGGTAACAAGCTGACGTCATTTGTACGTCAATATATGGTCATTTATGGTCATTGACGTCATATGACCTCAAAATGACGTCATTTTGACGTACTTAATATGACGTTATATAGACGTCCTTGATATGTCGTCAATATGACGTCATCTGATGGTCATTTTCATTACTAATTATGACCATCATTTATTGAGTCATCTACATCAAGGAAAATTCATAATCAAGAAGTTTCCCATCTCTGTTATAAGAAATCGTTAGTAGTTATGTTATAAAACATATATTATTATGTCACTCATCATATATTAGGCTTTATAATAATTTTCCCTCTACTCTGTGTGAGATGTGTGTTCTCGATGGTCTCTGAGATAATTGTTAATTATATACCTTCTGTGCAAAGTATTCTCCCTA